TAAGCTTACCTGTGAACTATGCATGATGGATCCTAGAATTTACCCCATTGGTCCGGACAACTAAGTAATGCTATCTCTTAATATGATCTTAGGGAACTTCTAAGAGTGTTAGCCAATTCGACATTTACCTTTTTTGTGACCTACCTTGTGCATATGTGAACCGCTTTCGAACACCCATTGAGCTTTCCCTTTCTTTGGAAGAAACTTGCTGAAAACAATGACCTTTCTTTATCCATCACCCATAATCCACATGAAGTTGTGGTAGGTTCAATAGCCAACTTAGGCCAAATGCCTAAGTTGGGGGTGTGGTGAAATGATGAGGGCAATTCAATAAGTGCAAGGAAAGTCTCCTCTTACCGATGGTTTTGAGAAAAATGGAACCCCTCCATATAAAAAAAAAGAGAGAAAAGATAAAGAAAAAGAAAAGAATAGAACAAGAAAGTTAGTTGAATAAAGTACAAAAGAAATGGGGTTCCCAAACAATCCACGGAAAGTGAATAATAGGATGACTTATGAGAACTAATGAAAATGGTGAAAGAAAGTGTTGAGAGCACCACATTTCATGAGGATGAAAGTCACAGAGCCTAAATGATCATATATTTGCACTCAGCACCATTACAAGCCTTGAGACAACCTTTTTGATCTTGATTGATCTGAAACAAATGTTGATTGGAAAATACCTACAAACCTATCAGTTAAATTATGAATTATGTTCTTCTTTGTGAGTGTGAGCGTTGCATCTGATGTCGAAGCTTTAAATTGTGAACCATTGTCTGAATATGGAATAAATCCTTGTGTGAGGGCATTTGAACACTTTGGTTGAGCTTTCACTTGCATTTGAAGCAAGTATTGTAAGAATGAGATTCTTTGATATTGGTGAGTCACAACTTTGAATCTTTAAGTGCACATTTCTTCCTTGCATAAGTAAATTGAGTCTTGTTGTGTGCCTTCATGATTGAGTCTTGTGTAGCACTGTACGAGGCACCCTTTTTTTGTGCAGCTAAACTTCAGTTTTCTTGAGGACAAGCTAAAGTTTAAGTTGGGGGTATTGATGAGTCTACAAATTGGACTCATTTAGGGCAATATTTTGATAGAATTAGTGTCCTTAAATGCATATTTTATCTCAATATCTGATGAAAACCCTTAAGTTTAAGGTATTTGTAGTTTGAGGGAAAACATGTCCACTACTTAGTATAAAAAGGAACAAAGGCAGCTGACAGAATGAAGAAATGAAGATTTGAGACCGCCGAACCCATTCGGCGAGTCGCCAAAAGGTCTTATCCTTGCCTTTTGTTCTAGTGAGTTGAGCCCTGAAAGAAAGGATCAAATCGGCGGTGAAAAGGAGCAGTTGGTGTGTTGCCGAGCACTTCCGTGAAGCAGTACTATGTCGCCCAATGATCCAAAACATGACAATCCTGAAAGATAGAGCAAGACAGCGATGAAACCTACCAAATGGTAGATCGCCGAGTTGATCTGTGATCTCGACTAACGATGACGAATGATCCGCTGTAGCACAAATTTTTGAAAATTATAAATACTCGTTGAGAGTTGTAGCTTAAAATCAGAGGTTTAATATAGATTTTTTAACATAGAATTTTAAGTTCTAAGTTTGGAGAGGGTTTTGAAGACCTTCAAGATTCCAAGGGTTTCAACTCCAAGATTTTGGACTTGGGTCTTGTGGATTCTTCAATCTTTGCTTATTTTGAGACTTAAATCTTCATACCCATTTGAATGCAAACTCATTTTGGTATAAATTTCTGTCTCTTTTACATGTCTAGCTAGAACCCCAATTCTTGGGGTGTGATTTTGTGAATATGGGTTAGATTATCTGTTGGGTCTTGCTTGTTGATGGTTTCTTTGTTGTGTAAATGTGATTTTTTTTAATATTTATGGTGGAACATAATGAAATTGTAGTTGCAAATAAGATTTGACCTTTGTTTTTTATATTTACTCGAGTGAGAGGTCGTAAAACTAAGACAACTAAATTGATGGTCGGTGGGAGTGGGTCGACATGAGGGTCAGCTCGAGAGAGTGAACACTAGTCCTTCTTCGACACACTCAGCTCGAGAGAGTGAGTGGGCTAAGGTGGAGGTTGTTCTTCATGCGGCAAGTGGGTGTCCGAGAGGAACCCATTTGATTCAGGGTAAGTTGCTTGAGAGAGAATTTACCCCCACTATAGTCTAGCCTAGTCACAAATATTGAATGGATTTGCTATCAAAAGCATGTACCCAATAGTCTAGTCTAACTCGTATTCCTATCAGATCCCAAGAATCCCTTCTCTTTGATTAGTTCTCCTTTTATTTTTTCTGATTTTGCTCTTTACTTGTGACAAACCCCCATCATTAATTGACACTCTCGTGTCACACTCTTTGATTTAACAATGTTTTTATTCGATACTGTTTTATGATATGACTAATTAGAACTTAATTTTATTTATCTATTAATTCTCAAGCCTATTCCCTTGGGAGTCGACCCCAACCCTTGGTTGGGTTACTTTACTATCGTACGATCGTAGACACTTGCATTTGAAGTTGAGTCTTGATTACGCAAACATCATAAGCCTTGTGCCACCTTAGAGGGGATACTGCCTCAACCCTCCATGGGCATGACCACGTATCATGGTCCACTTCAAGAGCTGTGAAGGGGTCCGTGGAGATGACTTGGGCTCTTTAGCCAAATGCCACAAAACTCTAACCTCTACCAAATCTTCACGAGAGGGACCACGAGTCGTGGTCCTCACCACGGCTTTTGAAGATGAGCGTGACACCTGGATGGGGTCTTTAAGTGAGGGTCAAATAAGTCTTTTCTTTTTAAGTCCAACTAAAGTGGGGGTGTTTTGGATATTTTTAAGGGTAAAATATATATTGATTTTAAGTAAAAATTCACAAGACTTACTCATTAATTCACAACACCCAAATATTTTTCCAAAACCCTCTCCTCTCTAGAGTTCCTCCATTGAAGAACACCAAGAACTTGAAGATTAGGGTTCAAGAATCCATCTTCTCAACTCCAATTCATGGGAAAAGATTCATTTAAGGTATGGAAACCTTGATTCATGGAACACTTTTCTCTATGAAGCCCTTCAACTCTAATTTCGATATTTGGGATATTGTTCAATAACTAGAGTTTTAATTCTAGCCATGGGTTCTTTTTAAAAATGATTTCATTATGTTATTTGTCTTATATTATGGATGATTTGACGTTTTAAGGATGATTTTTATAGTAAAACTCCCCATGAACCCATGAACTACCCCATAAGCCCAATTTCATGAATTGTGATGGGTGTATTCATGCAAGATGACTACTATGAATTGTGTCAATGTTAATCTAGTTATTGAATCTTGTTTTTTTTATGCTTAAAGTAGTATTTCTATGTGTGATTGTGAGACTTGGTTCATGACCCTTGAAGGGGGTAAGTTGTGAATAGTTGTTCATGATTGATGGAGGATATATGTGAACTTATGATTCACTTGAAAGGTAAAGATCCTATGACCATTGTGTAAATTGATGTATTTTTGAAAGGTCATTCTCCCCTTACCCCTACACATGTTCATGTATGACTTGTCTAGGATGATGTTGATGTTGTTGTGTTGATTGAAAGGCTAATTCTCATGAAAACACTATAAACATTAATGTGAAAGGTTTACTCACATGTTAATGATGATTCTAATTGAAAGTTAGTTCTCACCTAAATTAATCTATGAGCTATTTTATGAGTTGTATTGAATGAAGGGTAGAGCACTCCTTCACACATGTAAATACAATTCAATGACTAATTATGTATAATTTGGGAGATAATGCTTAGTACCGAGTGGATATGAACAAAGAGGTAAAGGCCCTTCTGTCAATGCAATAGGTCGGGTCATCTAAAGTAAACTCATGAGATGGAAGGTTCTCCGCCAATGCAATAGGTCAGGTTTCTAGAAGAAATATCCCTATCCCATAACTATGTGCCAACATAGGACTTAGCTAGTGGATCCACCTAAAAGTTAACACATTTAGTTCTACCTTAGGCAAGTAAGGCACCTTCTTTAGGTGTGGGGTTACATGACACCGGATTCCATGTTGCTCACATGATCTATGTCGGGTATGGCTATTCTTCCCTATATGATAAGATAATGAAAGAGACATGAACTACACTATGGGATTGGACTTCACTTTTACATTGCACAAGTAGACTCAGTAGGATAGTATGGGATGGTTCCTTTATGTTATGATGAGATATGAATATATATATGCAGGTATATTGAATGGATAGTTTCTATGAATGACTTTCCTTATGTTCAAGTAATGTACATGACTAGTTCTTTATTGATGTCTATTGTTTATGATGAGGTCTAAAGATAATATTAATGACTAAGGTAGCTTCAAGGGAGTACTTAGTATGGTTGGTATTATGGGATGCCAACCATACATTTCACAAGTGTTCCTTAGGGATTGCCAAGGTATTGATATTACTATGTTATGAGTATACATGTGATTATAGTTTTTTCTTTTACATTGAAAATGCATGTTGGTTTCCAAACTCAATAAATGCATACTTTTCAACTAAAATGTCCTCTTCATCATATTTAAAGGATTTTATTCATGTTTCCATACTTAGTACATATTTGTTCTAACCCCTTCTTCTTCTTCTACATTTTGATAAGTTTAGGTTCCGGCTAGGTGACATACACTCTCCATCCTTGAAGAAGACTTGAATTGCTTATCTCCAAGTTGTGGTGAGTCCTCAAGTTCGTGGATGGATTATCCATTTCTTAGTTACTATTGTGATTCTCATACTGAGACTTTTATTGATGAAAAGGGCTAAGTCCCAAACTTTGTAATCCTATGTTTTAGATGGTGTATGAGACAAAGTCTAGATTCCTATGATTTTCGATTACGAAAAATGAAGTTTGACTTCTATTGTAAAGGTTTTAAATTTTTCCGCATTATTTTTATGTATTATGTTATGATGATGCTAGAGGCTTGTATGAGACCCCTTCGGGGTCAAGTACGCCATGTCGTTTCTAGGAGGTAACTCCGGGTCTTGACATGTTGAGGGCATGCGTGATAAATTTTAAAGGATATTGGGATGACCATATTCCGTTAGTTTAGTTTTCTTAGTATAAAAATTATCATTCGAGTATCGACATGGATCCATTTGCATCTCTTTATGGTAGGATAATTAGGTCTCCCATAGGGTAGTTTGAAGTAGGGGAAGTTGCTCTTGTAGGCCCAGAATTGGTGCATGAGGTCATTGAGAAGATTCGGGTTATTAGAGACAGGTTAAGAAAGGCCCAAAGTGGGAAAAAGTCCTATGACGATGTTAGAAGGAGAGATCGAGAATTTGATGTCCATAATTGGGTTTATTTGAAAATCTCACCCATTAAGGGTGTTGTGAGGTTTGTAGAGAAGGAGAAACTTAGTCTTCGATTTGTGGGTCCTTATGAGATTTTGAGGCGTGTTGGCAAAGTTGCATTTGAGTTATATTTTCCAAATGATTTGGCGTTGGTGCATCCAGTGTTCCATGTCTCAATGTTGAAGAAATGTATTGGGGATCCATCAACCATAGTTCCCTTAGAGGGATTTGAGGTTAAGGAGAATCTTGTTTATGAAGAGGTACCGGTTGAAATGCTAGACCGGCAGGTCAAGAAGTTGAGGAACAAGGATGTCTCCTCTGTGAAGGTATTTTGGAGAAATCACTTAGTTAAGGGTACTACTTAGGAGACCGAGACCGATATGAAGTCCGAATATCCTCATCTCTTTCCTTCTACTCCTTGTTAAGCTTGAGGTAAGTAATTCCTTTTGAGTTTTTATTGTTTAGGAGTCATGTGTTATTTATGTGTATCCATGATTTCTTTATGTTATGCATGTTCTTGAGAAATTCATGTTTAGTAAGAAAATGATTTTTCATGATTTATGTTCCTCATGTTGTTGTGTGTTTAGTATGAGTTGCCTATTTGACTTCATGAGGTGAATTGATGAACATGATTTATATGTATATGCTTTCTTGAATAAATTGCATCTTGGCTCCATGATATTGTGTTGAGCATAATTTGTTGGAGAAGGTAGTTCCTCCTATGATCATGAAAAATGTTGAAATTTCATGCATAATGGGTTGTTAGATGTAGTTCCTACTTCCTTGTGATGCATTGTTTGTGTTTGAGTTGGAGTTGATGTTTCCTGCTACAAATTATGCATTATTTTGTTGTTTCATGCATGATGGGATGCTAGTCTAGAGTCTTTGCTTCCATAAGGTGTCTTGATTATCATTCGAGGACGAACATTCCCAAGTGGGAGATATTGTAACACCCCGAAGCTAGTACGCTAAACTAGAGCTTAACATGAGGGTTAAAGTCTTAAATGTAACACCCCATACATAAAAATAGAGGGTTTTGTATTAGAACGTCAAGGTACAACCTCCAATGACCAACCATGGGTCCTTGAGGAGGGCCCTGAAAACTCCCTTACAGCAGGGGAGCACGGTAGGACCCACACCGTGGGTCAACCCATGCCTCGTGGGTGAGGGACCCTAGGTTAGTTCCCAGAAAACCAAGTCTCTGAACCCCAACCCACCCTTCACCAGCACGGGCCGTGGGTCCAACCATGGTCCGTCAGTGATGGTTTCGTGGGTGGGGCCAAATTCTCTAATGATGAACCACGCCCAACGTCGGACGGGCTATAGATCCATACACGGGCCATAGGTCAGCGGGCGATGGTTTAGGCCTGGAACTGCTTTTTGGCAATTAAGTTAGGGGCACTTTGAGGTTTTTCAAGTTTAATTAATAACTAAGTAAGGTTATTTTAGCCTAAATCAGATCACCTATATAAGGATTTTCATTCATTAAATTAAGTCCACTACCTCATTATTTCTAACACCCAAAACGTCATCCTCTCCAAAGAAAATTCTCTCTCTAGAGCTTCAAGGAAGAAGAACAAGGAAGTTGGAGCTAGGGTTGAAGGATCAAGGTTTTCTTCTCAAATTCTTTGGATTTCATTGCCAAGGTATGGTAGTCCTTCATCCATGGAGTCCCTTCAAAGCCCCAATTTCTAAGATAGAAATCCCCAAAAGATAGGGCTTGATTCCAAAACTAGGGGTTTCTTTCAAAAACGATTAAAATGTTTGAATTTTTTTATATTATGATTGAATTGATGATTTATTTTGGTTTTTATGTTGAGATCCCAAAGAACCCATGAAGCTCTCCTGGTAGTAGAGGCCGATTTTTCTAGAAGAGGTCTCATGAGATGGAAGCTCTCCTGTTAGTAGAGGCCGACATTCTAGTAGCAATCTCTTTATCCCATAAACTATGTGCCCTCATAGGTATTTATCTAGTAGATCCACCTAAGCTAAGCGTATTGTTCTACCTTAAGCTAGTAGAACAACCCCTCTTCGGTATGGGGTAGACACTGGATTCCATGTTAGCTCACATGGCCTATGTCGGTTAAGACTTAATTCCACTGTGACAACAACAATATGAATATAAATATGGATTATGAACTATGGTTACTCAAGAAGATTTACTTAGTATGCGTGAGATTTATGGGGTCTTATCCATGCATTGCACAAGTATGCTTTGAGGTTTTTTATGATATGTTCTCTTATGTTATGATGATCTATATGTTCACCATGTTTATGACTTATGCTTTTACACTATCTTTATAATGATGTTCAAACTTAGTAAATTGCATGCATTCAACTAAAATGTCCATTTTGGCATGTTTTCAATGTTTTTATATATGGCTATCACACTTAGTGCATTTTTGTACTAACGTCTAGTTTTCCCACATTTTCCCCAAATGTAGGGTCCGGTTCTCAAGGTGATCATTGTTGTGGCTAAAAGCTCGGATTTGCTTATTTTCCTAGCTTGTTGGTGATTCCTCATGATTCGAGGACGAATGTTATCTCTTTGTAGTTCATTTCTTGTATTTCCTTTGTGAACTATGTTGTATGGGTTGTGTCCCTTTTCTCATTCGAATATTGTAATAGATGGCTATGTTGAGACTTAGAGTCGAGTCTTCAACTTTTTTTAAATGAAAATTGAAGACTTGTTTTGAAATGTATTTTATACTCTTATTATTCTATTGCTTATGTTATGATATGCTAAGTGGCTTACATGGAGACTTTCAGGGTTCTATGTGCCTTGTTACATCTAGGGGGTACCCTGGGTCAGGACTGGATTGTATGAACTCTTGTTGTGCTTCTATTGATTGTGGAACTCCTTTAGTCAAGTTTCAGTTCCCAAATGAGCATATCCTAGAGTGGAAGGGGGGAAATTCTATGCCTAAGAGTCAATTTGTCTATTAGCTTAAAGCTAAAATGATTATTTCTAAGGGTTGCTTCTACCATTCAGTAAGGGTAAGGGATGTAGATTTTGAAATCCCTTCTCTTGAGTCGGTTCGCATTGTCAATGAGTTTTCGGAAGTATTTCAAGATGACTTACCTGATATTCCTCCCTAGCTAGAGATAGACTTTGATATTGACCTTCTTCCAGATACGCAACATGTCTCTGTTCCTTATTATTGTATGGCTCAGGCATAACGTAAGGAGTTGAAAGAACTGTTAAAGGACTTGTTGGATAAGGGTTTCATCCGACCGAATATCTCTCCATTGGTTGCTCGAGTTTTGTTCGTTAGAAAGAAGGATGGTTATCTTTATATTTGCATTGATTATAGAAAAATGAACAAGGTGACATTTAAGAACAAGTATCCTTTCCCAAGGATTGATGATTTGTTTGAACAAGTTCAAGGGACAAGTTATTTCTCTAAGATTGATCTTCGATCGGGTTATCACCAACTGAGGGTGAAAAATGACATTCCGAAGATGAATTTTTGACCTTGGTATGATCATTAAGAGTTTTTTTTTATGTCGTTTGGGTTGACTAATGCTCCGGCGATATTTATGGACTTGATTAATAGAGTGTTTAGACAATACCTTGACATGTTTGAAATTGTGTTCATCGATGATAGTTTGATCTACTCAAGGAGTGAGGGTGAGCATATTGATCATTTGAGGATCGTGTTGCAAATCCTTAACGACCAACACCTTTTTGCAAATTTTAGTAAATGTGAAATTTGGTTAAGGTCCGTAGCTTTCCTTTCTCATATTGTGTCTAGCAAGGTTATTGAGGTAGATCCTAAGAAGATGGATGAAGTCAAGAGTTGTCCTACACCTCTAACTCCCTAGAATATTAGAAGTTTCTTCGGTTTGGCCAGTTACAATAGAAGGTTTGATGAGGGTTTATCTTCAATTGCCTCTACTTTGACTGCTTTGACTCAAAAGAAGGCTAAGTTCATATGGTGTTAAGCATGTGAAAAGAGTTTTTAAGAGTTGAAAGATAGACTTACTTCCGTTCTGGTGTTGACCTTACCGAAAGGTACGTATGGTTCTGTGGTTTATTGTGTTGCCTCAAGAATTGTGCTAGGGTGTGTGCTTATGCGAAATGAGAAAATTATTGCGTATGCCCCAAGGCAACTTAAAATCCATGAGAAGAATTATCCTAGTCACGGCCATGAGTTAGCGGCGGTCATTTTTGCTCTAAAGATTTGGAGACTTTATTTGTTTAGAGTTCATGTAGATCTTTTTACCAATCACTACAGTTTGCAATATGTGTTTAATAAGAAAGATTTGAATATTCACCAAAGAAGGTGGCTTGAGTTATTGAAGGATTACGACATGAGTGTCCCTTAGTGGTAGAAGATGCTCTTCGTCGGTTGTTTATGCGAAGTGTTGCTCAGATGGGAGAATAAAACAAGAGTTGGTTCGAGATGTTCACAAATTGGCTCGATTAAATGTTCACATAGTGGACTCTACCAAAGGTGGTGTTATGGTTCACATTGGTTCTGAATAGTTTTTTGTGGCGGATGTGAAAGCCAAGCAAGGTCTTGATAAAATTTTGGTAGAATTGAAAGAGGCGGTACTCATGAAGTTTGTTGAGGATTTCTCCCCGGGGGAGATCTGGTACTTAGGTACATGGGTCGTTTATGTGTTCCAAATGTTGATGACTTGAGGGAACAAATTTTAGCAGAAGAACCCATAGTTCACGGTATTCTATTCACCTGGGAGCTACCAAGATGTACCTTTATTTACGGGAGGTCAATTGGTGGAATAGGATGAAGAAAGATATCGCAAGAGTTGTGGCTAAGTGTCTAAATATCCAACAAGTAAAGCTTGAGCATAAAAAATCGGGAGGTTTGTACCAAGATAATAGCATTCCTACTTGAAAGTTGGAAGACTTTAATATGGACTTTACTGTTGGTTTGCCTCGCACCCGGCGACAACATGACTCTATTTGGGTGATAGTAGATCAGATGATGAAATCGGCTCATTTACTTCCCATCAAGGTCTCCTATTTGGTGGAGGTCTATGCCAAGTAGTACTTAAGAGAAATGGTAAGGTTGCATGGAGTGCCCTTGTCCATTATTTCCGATCGGGGTACCCAATTCACTTCTCAGTTTTGGAAGTCATTCCAAAAGGTGCTTGGCACTATACCTTAGCACGACTTTTCATCCCCAAACCGATGGGCAAGAAGAGTGTATTATCCAAATTTTGGAAGATATGTTTAGGGCTTGTGTGATCGATTTTTAAGGGTAATTGGGATGACCATTTTCCATTGATAGAGTTTACCCACAATAATAACTATCACTCAAATATCGATATGGCTCAATTTGAGGCCTTATATGGTAGTAGGTGTAGATCTCCCATAGGTTGGTTTGAGGAGGGTGAA